TTTTGAAATAATTGCTGCATTTGCAGAACTGCGGCTTCACGGTTTGAAATTGGTGACAAAGTGGTGAGCGGCGCTCTGAGCCCTCCCAATGCAGGTGGGTGTGTGACAACACACAGGAGGAGCCCTCTTCAAAGGGAGTGGAAAAAAAGGAGAACTCATCTTTCAAAACGATGTCGCTGCTTTCCCAGAGGTGTCACCCATGGCAGAGCCCATCACTTGGCTGGGGAAATGCAATAAAAAGACCTTTTTATAATAATCAATTCCAGCAAGGGCACAGTAATTTAGAACACGGCAGAAATGGGCAGGGAACGGGTCTGAGGAGCCATTGAAGTAATAGGCCATAAATGTGATCAAACCCAAAATAAGCTTCCCATTACTAATAGTCATTAGCTTTATTACATTACAACCTTTAGAGACATGGTCAGTTATGGATCCTCATTCAGTTTATGAGATTATTTCTGGTCAAAACACAATTACAGCAGCTTTTCCATTATGACAAAATACAGTCCTAGACTAATTAGTGCTAATTACAGATGAAAGGACTTTCTAGAGCAAAACCACAGTGCTGTTGTGTCAACAGATGCCTTCAGCATGCTCTGTGAAGTCTCCCCTCTCAACTTGATTAAAAAAGATTGGAGAATTTCCCCATGAGTTTCTCCCTCCACACTATCTCTGAAAACAGCCTCCCCTTTCCCCCTCTAAGTGTGTTTCTTCCCTTCGCTTCCCCACACTTCTTCTTCTTCTTCTTTCTTTCATCTGTAACCTCGATTTACTGTCAACATAACTGATCACAAAAATATTCCTCTACTGCAAAAAAAGCAACAAAAAACAATAACGATAACAATGGCATCAAATAGACTGTATGAGAAAGACAGGCTTTCAGTTCATCTTTATGCAGCGATGCAGCACTGTAGCTAACTAAAAAGGCGGCTATAGGCAGTCATATTCCTTTCAAAGCTCCATTAAGCAGTATGTTTTGATATTAATGCTGACTGTCTGTGATGTAAATACTGTTGATCCCATTGAGGATCAACACCACAGTTTGCAGCTCTAGGCAGCTCATTACTTTGTCTCTCAGAGACCCAGATCTTTTTTTTCTTAGAAGCCAGGGGTTGAAACAAGAGGCAAAAGGATTGAATATTTGACTCTCATTTCACCAATGGTGAGACACAGGACTCTGATGGGTTGTCAGTTTTGCTCTGTTTCTGCTAGATGTGTAAGTAATGTTTAAAGCTTGCCAAAAGGGGTACATTGACATTTTACAAATCAGATGCTGAATACCGCCAAACCACACTCTTAGAAATTGCCACAGAATTTAAACATCACCTTCCTGACAGCCCTTGCCAAAGGGGTTATTTCTAGCTGGAGTGTTTCTACTTGATGTTCTTGCTGAAATCCTTGTGTCCTCAGACTGTCCAGCAGCTAAAATCCAGATGAAATAAGCTCGAAATAGAATCTTAATAACAAGCTTGATACACTCATCTCAGTCATCTTCAATTATTACTGAACGCTCTGTGAAAAAAAAAAAAAGAAGAAGAAGCTTAACGAGAAGCAGTAAGCAATTTTTGGATTAATTTGCCCAGGGTTTTACTTCACAGGCTACATACAGTCTGCCCTGTGTTACTGGTGGAGTGTGTTGTAGCTGTATGTGGCCTTAAATGAAGACTGCAGGTACTCCTCCGAGCTGGCTCTATCCAATATTAATACTATCAATGAACCTCATTGTTTCTAAGCATGTGATTTTCATATATTCATGTACCAAATCTGCTACCGCTCCATCTTCACTACTCAGCGACTTCAGTTCTGTTTTCTATTGGAAAAATCTGAGTTTGTCTTCCCTTTGGTGGCGAGAGGGTGCTGTCTCTCTCTCTCTCTGTATGTGTGTGTGTGTGTGTGTATGTTTAAGGTGGTTTGACAACACTGCTCTTACATTACCTTACTTCCTCTTTTCTATCAGCGAGGAGTGTAGCACAGGGGAGGGAGAGGAACTTATCTGTGGGCCTTTCATGCCACAGTGATCCCAAGTAATCTAATTCAGCCTTCCTCTTTCTCGCTTGTGTGCCTCTCTCATATTGGTGCATGCAGATTGCAAAAGCCTTGCGTGTGTGCGTGTGTGTGTGTGTGTGTGTGTGTGAGGGAGGGAGAGCAGGGAGAGAAAAGGGGACAGGCAGGGAGAAAGACAGAGTTAATGAGTTCTGAATGTGTCTGCATGTATAAGTATTTGTGTTGTGTGTTAAGTACCACGGGGTGGCCGGAGATGCAGTGCACCTTGGGAAGATGTTCTGTGCAGGAGATGAAAGCAGTTGTGTGGAGTCTTAATAGTAGAGCAAAACGCATTGAAACAAAATTGTCCAAATCAACCCTCTATTCAATAAATATCTGACAATAAAAAAAATTTACAAGTATTAGTATCAAAAGTAGATGCTGTATTTTCAATACAATGTAACCACACACACACACACACACACAAACTGTAACATCTGTTTAACACACACAATTTCTCTCCTGTGATTTCCCGCCTAAATCATCCTGTCCTGTCCCTAACTGATTTAGCCAAGTTTAGCGAATAATTGTAATACCAGGTTAACTAAGATGGATTTTTGTCAGTGTGAAAAAAAAGAAAAAAAGAAGTTACATGATTGATAGTGAGCCACGAAAGCCTCCTCGTCTATGTAAAATGAGCAGAATAATCAGAGTGAAGAAGCTGACACTTTCAGGACTCAGTGATGACTGAATGTTAGATTTTGGAGGGGGGGGGGGGCTCGCTCGTTCACAGATTCATTTTTACGGAAACAGTAGTGAAATGAAATGAAATTAATCGGTAAAGTAAAAATTTCACTCGGAAATGTGTTTTTCAGTGAGCAAGCAAGGGCAAATTCTCTGGTTGAGTCTCTTTTATGAGTAGAGCCTTTGTGAGATAATCATGCAAATTATCTTTGCGGTTTTTTTTGTCAGTGGAAGGTGTGGGAGCTCACTATATATTCCTAGAGCAAGGCAAGTATAGTGTTGATACATCAGTGACATGAAAAGGACGTGAGAGAAGGAACTGAAACAATCCTGCAGCATCAGACACATAGCTTCAATTATCCTGAGAGTGGATCAGTGGGTGAGGATGCGCCTCATTCCTCTGAATCCAGGAACAGCCACCCACGGGCATCTATCATCTACACAGCTACAGGCAATATTTAGAGAATAACATTGACACGACAGTCAGGTCTGTATCATGCAGATCAGAAGCACCAGAATAGAAGTGAATTCAATCTTTGTTTTAGTAATCAGCGCTGATGTGACAGCACATCTTTCTCTTTAGTCAACACAATTGACATTGCTCATTTTTAAAAAAAAATTTTTTCCCCACCTGAATGTTTTGATCCAAATCAGACGCAGTGTTTTACAGGTCACTGAGCCGAGCTGTAGAGATGTGTGAAAGGCTCTCTGTGTGAAGTTCTATAGGGGGAGCTTTGGTAAATCTACACAACAGAGTGACTCTGCCTCGCTGAGGGAGACACACAGCTCCAGGCTTACCCTCAGGCCAGAGCCACCCTCTAGACAGCATCTGAGGCCTGCTGGGAGCTACAGATGCTCTCCTCCTGGCCTCCTCGTAAACACACTCTGCGGGCACAGACCTACATTACAGCTCTGCCTCCTCTATCTGAGCAGCAGAGGCGGAAGACGTACTCAGATCTTTTTCTTTGGAGTATAAGCGGTCGTAGCAGTACAGTCTTGCCATTAAAAACCCATCAAGTCATTGTACTTCAGTGTTAGCAGCAAAATGTAATCAAATATAAAAGTACTTATTATACAGAACGACCCCTTTCAGAGTGTCATTATGTATGTACTACATGATTGGATTACTGCTGATGTATTAGTGTGTGCGCAGCCTTTTCGTGTTGCAGCTGGTCAAGGTGGATCTAACTTGACTTATTTCATGTTGCGTAGTGTAGAAACTATTTTTAATGAGTTTTGAGTGTTTTCTTTATTTAGAATATCTTCTTCTTATTTTCTTTCTAGTGTTTTATTTAGGTAGCACCACACACACGTATATATGGGTAGGCAGGTATAGGACCAGCACACATTTGGGAGTAGTGTTTATTTTTTGTTTTTGTTTTTTTTACCGGACACAAAAACCTGCATTCATTTCATTCCTATTCCTAGTTTGTTTCTATTTGGACAGAGAGCCATTGCAGGAAGTCTATTTTACAGTATTGTGCGGTGGCCCTGAGAGCCCTGGAAGCACTTGCAGGAATGTATTATGATACATGTACTATAATACATCCATGTGCACTTGTTCAATGAAGTTAAAAGCATTGAATAACAAGTGCATGAAGATGTTTTCTGAATATGTTTGTGGTTTGTCTATTTATTTTTGTTTGTTTGTTGATTTGTTTTCTTAAGTTGCAGTGCGGTGAGCTCTCGGGGCCACTGTCTTATTGTATTTAAACGCTCTTCACATGTTTCATATGTAAAATCTGTAAGTAAAGTAAAAAGTGCAGTATTTCCTTCTAAAATGTTGTGGAGTAGAAGCAGAAATTCAAATACTGGACTTATGTACAGTACTCAAGTAGATGTACTGTGTTACTTTCCACCACTGCTAAGCAGCAGCTGTTACACTGTGTGACGTTTGTTTGTATTTTATAAATATAAATTCATCATTATCAGAAGTATTTCAATGCCAGTGAAATGACTTTTACTCCACATGATGTTAAAGCAATTACCCTGCTTGTTATTCAAATGTTTATACTTCACTGAAAATCTGGAACGAAACGTGTGACCAGATCATGAATACATTCATCTCTCTTCATCAGGCTGCCACCAGTCATGCTTAAAAGTGCTCAGCCATTTCCAATGCAAAGCATTCATCTGCTAAAAGAGAAACATTTGCAAATGTTGATTCAAAGTGTAAATTTAATAGAATATCAGGACGCACTATTTCACATTCAGTGATGAGTGTGCAGCCATCTATTTAGTCGTCGCACTGAGCTGGAAGTGGCATCACTCACCATGGCCAGGGGCACGATGCCTGCAAGGTCCTCCTGCGCCAGCAGGATCTCCGTCTCGGCCTCTTGTGTGGCGGCACGACTGGCTGGGTACTCCACCTGCCAGGCCATCCAGCGGCTGCCCAGCGGCTCTGGGAAGCTTTCCATTTTCAGATCCACCTGGAGCACCCTCTGAACTCCCATCTCAGACCTGCCAGGGTGCAGAAAAAAAGAGAGTGTCAGTGAATGGTTAAGCAGATGGCTGGGCGAGAGTTTGAAAAAGAAAAAGTGTGTGTGTGTGTGTGTGCGTGGGGATTCGGGGACTTGTGCGTGTATGCGAGCTCATTCAACCTACTGTCTGCCGTAATGATGACAAACGGTAAAAGCTGATGAATGTGTCTGTGGCTGAAATCTATGACATTTTACCAACTGAGATTCTTCAAAATGTCAAGTCCCTTTGTGTTTGACTCACTGGTCAACCCTCCGCTTTATGGAATAATATCACCCTCTTTTTCCTTATTCCTCTCACACTTTTCCCCAGGTGATGTGCACTGTAAATAGAACCTATAATCTCGCGGCTGCTCCTCGGAGCAGTTCAAAGGAATGCTTCACCCCCGCTAAGGTGTTGATGGTCGGGGTTTGTCACCGGTGCCCTTGTTTGCCGCAGCAGAGTGTAAATATACGGCATGCTCTGGCACGATCTACGGCAGGTCTGAATTAAGTCAGACAAATGGAGAGCGTTGATAATAAAATTTCCCATGGCGCCATAAGTCTCTGGTGCTCAGGGTTTAAATATAGCCTGCAGGCAGGAAAGGTCAGCTTTACACGGGAGCCGGAAGAGATGGGAAATGGCACAAGATCTGTTAGCCATGTCTTGCGTGTCAAATGGCAGGACTCGGGGCCAATAAATTTCATGCATGGTCTCTGTGGCACAGTGGCACAAAACAGCATTTTGTAATTTGAGCATGGTGAAGAGGAGAGAGACAGAGAGCGGGAGAGATGAATAAAGCCACATAGTGTTTTGTTAGGAGAGGAGGGTGCATGTGCATATCACGTGGAAAATGCCGTAAAGCACACGGCTGAGAAAAAGGCAACTTTAAAAGCTAATTTTAGTATCAAGCAAACAAAACGTTGCCATAAAAAGAGATAATACACGTGATACGTCATGGAAAGACAGCAGAGCTAATGTATAATGTCCTTAATTATGAATAAGAGACTAAAAACAGTAAAACAATAAATAATACAAAATGTTTTATCCACTGCTCTCATATTCACGTAGGTCTGACACTATTCCCACATCATTCTCATATTATTCACTTTTATTCTGAGAGACTGAAATATTTGTTGTGCAGCGGAGCACAACAACCCAATTTTCACATCCAACAGAGGTGCGTATAAATAATTAAGACGACAACCAAATAACTTGTATCGCATTTCATAACGGCGTACCGATCAGAGTGCCGTAGAGACGTAGTCGCGGACTTCCATAACTCTCCCACAATGCCGCCTGAGAGAGACAGATGCTGATCTCTGCTCGCGGACCGGTGAAGCCACGAGCCTCATCAGGCAAACAAAGTTAACAGATGATGCAACGGACGTCCAGAAATAAACCTCTGAGCGCTCCACAGTCGCCGAGCATCACACAGGGCCTGTGTCAGCCATCAGCCCAAATGGCCTACTTTCTACAGCACAGGCACATTTTTACTGCGGAAAGGTTGCTCCGGCAAACATCACACACTTTTCATTCACACACACACACACAAACACACACACATGGGCAAAAGAATGGAAGTGACTGTGCAGCAGAAAGGTTTGATTGTGCTGTACACACACTACCCAAGTACAGTACTCTACAAAGTTAAACGGCCCACAGAAAAGACAGAGAAGTTGTCTGTTATTAGCTTTTTTTTTTTTTTTTTTCCTTCAGAGATGTCAATTATTTCCCTGCTCGCATGATCCAGTTGGCAGAGTTTAATAGCAGCTGTGAATGCTATGAATTTTATGAGGTTTTTATTTTTTTTTTTCCCACAAGAAAGGTGCCAGCAAAATATTGAGGTTATGAGCGTGTACAGTGTGGGGGGGTATAAATAGTCCTCCTGCTTCGTTTTAGCATTCAGACATGCTGCTAATTTTGCATTTTTGTGACAGAAATATCCAACTTCAAAAGAAGACCTGAAAAGACGACAGCGGTGTAAAGAACGACTGTAGTGAAGGGTGAAGGGAAGAAATGAGAGGTTAGGTTAATGCAAAGATTAGATCGAGGACAAGAGTGAATACGTATAAAGAAACGCACACCATCGCTTCACTTATGGGCCATTCTTCGGCTTCAATAGACGAAACCTTTTGCAGGGGACCGAATGGAAACTATATGGCAGCGCATGGAGAATGTCTGCAGGTGCGTGTCTGACTAAGGGGTTCGTGATTTTCAATGCACAAGGCTGGGACTATAATAAATACAATGCTTATGGTGGAAATTGTCTATTTATCGCGTTTTTTATGATGACTCTTAAAAGTCAAAGCTGCTGCTGGTTGTATATCTTGCTAGCCAATAAGTTGTACAGCAGATGGCAAAAAGAGGGAGCGATAAACAAAGACATTTTGGGCTCCTTTCCTCACAGAGAAAGCCTGGCAGCACTCTGCCTTCGACTGTCCGCTGTACTTGACCCCTTTTGACACACGTCATAAAATGAAACCTGACAGAAACATCGGTGTCAGGGTGGATGTGACTCAGGCGTTGACTCAGACACACCAACCATATACACACCAGCACGCCATCCTGAGCCGACCCCCTCTCTCTAAGTCTGCTAATCACATGGCTCGCTGGGGGGAAACTGTTCATTTCTCTGTCACTTCCAGCATGCGGCCTAATTCAATTAGCAACAAAGGGCCTGTGGATGTGTGCCACACAGCTGGCCTCAGCCTGATAATTATCTGTAAACTAGCTGTGGTTTGACTAAATCTGAGGCCAGACAGACGACCGGAGGGCAGCCAAAGGCAACAGAGAGGGGCTCAGTAGATAACAGGCCCTAAAGTTGGAAGCAGCTGGCCCTCTGGCTTTAGAGACTGGACCGGAGAGGAAATCAGACTTGACAAGATGCTGCCCGAGACGGCTGACAACCGACTCACTGAGAATAGCACGGAGGTGGCTGAGAGGATGCTGTTTAGCCACATTTGGGATGGCCATAAATCACCACGACACCAGCGGATCCGTAGGACACGCAGGGAATAGCTTAGCACCACAATGCATTTGTTTAAGACAGTGTTACACTTTTACACGTGTTTGTTTTTCAACGGATTAAATAAAGGAATACAGAAACAATACATAGATAGCCTATAGCTGCTATGCAAATAACCAGCTGCTGGCTATTATAATACTTTAAACAGACCATTATGAGGGTGGTATCAATCTTCTCACCTAACTTTCAACAAAAAGCAAATAGGGGCTGTTTCCCAAAATGTCAGACTATTGCTTTAATCAAAAACGGTCAAAAGATTTAAGTACAACACTCCAAAACTTAACTTTAAGATATTCAGTTTACTGTCACATGTGACAAAATCCCAAATAGTTGCTGATCAATTTTCTGTTGATCAAATCCTTTCAGCTCTTCTTTGCAAATATACAAACTCTTAAAATCAGGTGCTAGCGCATTATTAGAATAATATTCTCAACATTCGCCACATGTCCTTTCAAAATGTGTTATCAACAAATCCAAACTTCTATTGTTCAACTCCTGTCTTCACTAATTACACAGTCGAAAGAGCTCTTCGCAGCGCCACCTTATCTTGATTGGAGCATGTTAGAGAGCTATTGGATTTTTTGGCTGCAAGAAGGTTAAAGAAAGTTAGATTTAAATGTCAAAATGAATAAACAGACACAAGACGAAGTTAGTGGAGGATTTTCCTTTTTAAACAGATTTCTCCAGAGAACGAGCTATAATTGAAAGAGCTTCTATTGTTCCATTATCAAACTCACTGTGTCATTGTGACACTTCTTGTTTAATCTCCCCCTGATGTGATAGGGATTCATGTGTCCACCGCCTCACCCAATGGGGTTTAGAGAATAAGGCAGAGAGAGAGACAGACAGGTTTGTCTTTGTGGGATAAATAAAGCGACATTTTCAGATCCATTTTCTTCATTTCTCAACCTGTAGATCCAGTATTGCTAGATATCCCCTGGTGTCGTCGTAACATTAAAACAAGAGAATGATTTGGCTTCATGTCTGGCAAAACATTTGAAGAGTATGTTTTATGTATAAGATACTAGAATAAGATGTAGAGTTTTCATACCACAAAGGGCCATAACAAACTTTAGCAGAGCAGCACGTAACGCTGCAGATTCACTGTAACAAGAGATGTTGAATGGAAACAGAATGGCAGATGAAGATGCATAATGCAAGCTGGTGGAACCAGAGGAGATGCTGTCCAAAACAGTCTGAGGCAGTGGTGTTATTGTGTATGTGTGTTTGTGTGTGTTTGTGTGTGAGGGGGGCCTCAACTCTAAACTACTCGTGGAGGGAAAAAAATAATCAAATTTGTGGCTTCAGTGGTGCTTGAAAACAGCACCCAGAAACTCTGCTGTTCTCATGCTCCGTCACCTGGAACAGCAATAAACCAGTCAGCACAATGAAGCCAGGATACACACATACACTCACACATGCAGCCACGCACACACACACACACACACAGTTATGCATATATGGATGCGCATACACAGTATATCCTGTACAGCAGAGCATCCATGTATGAACCTGTGCCTGCGCACACACACAGACAAACACTGTGGTCCTGACCACTCATGCAAGATGAAGTTTTCTGAATCTAATATAAACGTCAATATGCAACAAACTCTCTTGACTACTGTCACCTGTTGTACTGTAAAACATAATGGCTGCTACATGTGTTTGTGTTCTCCACAAAACCCTCTGCTACTTGCAGAGCTATAGCTTGTAAGTTAACAGATTTCACAAATACACCAAAACCTTCCTCTGCAAAACACAGTGGTGCAACAATGAGTGTGACAAACTCTTTAAGAGACTAAATATTTACACAATTAAGAAAGCTTGATTGTCAGGCCACAACTAACATTTATTTTCATTATTTTTTCTCAATTAACATTTGTTCAGAAAACAGTAAAAAATATCCGTAAGTTTCCTCCCTTCCGAACTGGTGTCCTCAAAAGATTTTGTTTTGTCCTACAAGTTCAAAACGCAA